TCCTCTCTGCCAGGTCAAAAGTTGACCACGTCTGCTTGCACTACTATGAAATGGGCAAGGAAAACAGCACTCTTTTCGGTCAATGATGAGTTCACACACGCAAAACATTGCCAAACCACGGCAGCTTGTGGTGAGGGATACATTCTTCGAGTGAAATCTCTACTCCACAGCCGAAAAGCCGTTTCCTAGTTTTCTTGTTGCGGATTCGGCGTCACCATCTTATGTGAGCTATGGTTCAGGGAGAACGGTTATCGAAGATCTGAAGAAGCTGCAGTTCTGCTGCCCAAAGAGGCCACATCTCACAGCCATGTAACAAAACAGACCACATTGTAGCCTAATACATATGCCCCTTGAGATTCAGGGGTAGTCACTAGATATTCTGGCGTTCGTCTCATCTCGTCGAGCACAAAATTGAGTAGAAAACGAGGATGAGCATCCTTGTTTCTGTAAGCTAGCCTTCAGAGAGCCTTCCCTATAGTCACGCAATACAGAGAACTTATTATATTAACAACTTCCCGGACATTCCCTACTGGACAAGCATGTTAGGGAGAAGAGACTCGTCAAGTGAGTCGAGTGATACTCGATAACCCAGGAACATCAAAATTTGTGGGGTCCTGAACGCGATGGTGTGGATATTTGGTCAATGAAACCGCCATCAAGCTGCTCCTAATTGAGTGCTTCACGCTCGACCATCAGACAACAGAGGGACAGGTGACGTCAAGTCTTGTTACGATCAGAGTCAAGTTGATCCCCTGCAGTTGCCACTCAATACTAGCCCATTTATGAAGATGGGAACCATCACTGGTGCTGACCAGTTGTCTAGGACTTTTCCCAGATGGAGGCAAACAGACCAGATAAGCGTTATCTGAGGACTCCATTCCGATCCTTGAACAATGAGGCTGCGAAGACATTCGGGCATATGGAGCTTGAAACAACCTCCGAGGCCGTGGAGGTTCACCGTCCAGGGTCCTATCGCAGTTCTGGTCGCGCCACTGTGATGTTTTCTGATTCCGCTCATAGCCGATTTCCGTGGACCGATCAACCGAAGCTACCTCCGATCATTCCCTGCCTACTGGGCTCCTTTCATTTCCTTGATCTTCTACGTCTATTAAGCCTCAGGGACGAGCACGCTGAGTTTCACTTGGCTTCTGATAATTCGTCAAGCTGAGTTGTGTTCAGAGCCAGGGGGAACATTTCACCGAGATTCAAGCAGCGCTATTGTCCTGTCTGATATCGTGCCTGAGCGGATCCGGTAGCGCCGTGCCACAGGCAAAACTTCCAACAGTGTGCCCAATAGTATGCATAGAACTTACCGAGGTGATGATGAAAGTAAAACGTCTGGTAAGCATTGTTAGTGAGTTCGAAAGTCCAGGAAACATGCACTGTTACATTTGCGTTGTACTGTTGTGTGATAGTGCATGTCTTCCGGATGCGCAAAAAGACCAGGAATCCTTAACCCTTAAAGCAGCCGGACCACGCATAAAGTCCCCAATCTCCGAGAAGCCGGTGAATGAGGCTGTTTTGTTTCACACTTTGGAGGACAACTACCCAGGACTCCCAGTGCATCCTCAACGTTTGTAGGTGTATCTCATCTCACCGGAACCTTGTACACCTGCTAGCCCTCGGTAATGGACTAAGAGTAATTCATACGATGCCCGTATGTGGCATGAAGTCGGGATGCAGCCAACGCCCCAATGCGGTCAAGCAACAAAGTGTCAACTCGGCTGAAGCACCAAACACTAACTTTCGTCCCTGTTCAAAACGCTGTCGAGAGGAAGCAGCTAGAACTAAGTAGCCCAAACAAGCGCAGTCGAGAGATATATGTTGCGTACGAACCACAGACCTTCCGGCTAGGAAGTTTGTGCTTTCATTGATGACTAAGGTGAACGGAAATGGAGAATCAGACATCCTTCCTATACATTATTTTGGAAGGATACTTGGAGAGCTCCCTGTACACCCTTACGCTCAGAAGTATGTGCATAAGGGCCGGGTTGTTCCAAACCTTGCCCACCATCCTTTGTTGGGGAAGAATGACGGGAAAAACTGCCAGACTGATAGGAACAAAGGCAGCTTTGAATTGAAGGAACACCAGGATTGTGGGTTTCTCCAATGCCTACGGGGGTGTTAAGATGTGGCCGACGTAGCCTTCATCTGGTCCAAATCCCACTTGATGTCCAAGGGTCAATGTTTCGGGCGAAGCTAACATTGCCTACCACATTCGCTCCGAGTAGGTGTTTACGAAGACGGGTACTATTATTGATCCACTGCACTTATTTGGGAGGTTTCTTCTATCTGACAGATACAAGTAAGACAGGAAGTGGGGAATTCACCGCTCTCCTTGAACGAAACCAGGTGAAGTACGGTAGTGCACTTTTTAGGCTAAAGGAAGTTCCATACTCACAATCAAAGCTTCTGCCACACGCCAGCAGCCCGGATAGGAAATAGCAGGTGGCAAGCCGAATTATTGGTCGAAATATCTTGCCTGACGGTTCAAATGTCTTTTCAGGATATCAGTAAGTAGTCGCAGTTACGTGGTTTCACTAAAAGGAAGCTTTGGAGGAACTGTTGATCCGATTAGGCGGAACGAAACGGAACGACCGGAATTTTACATTCGTTCCATTTTATTCTTTCGACCTTTTTAAGCTCGCCAAGCTTCCTGTTGTGTATCGGACGATCCGTACGATTGTAGTTGTAACAGGAAGGGATATATTCCCAGGCCTCTAGCAAAATGTCATCCGAGAGGCAAGCCAGGCAAGCGTACCACGCAAACTTTGAAGACCTCACTCTAATAGCATACAAAACCTGGGGAGCTGCTAGGTGTTGGCAGGGCAACCTTGATACATTTCTTTGGTCAGTCTCATTGTTGTGCGTTGGCCGGGATACCGGTGGAGCGCCCAAACCGAGGAGCCATCAGTCACTATCGACCATGACTATCGATCCATAAATTATTCAAAGAATACCTTCACAAGATGAGCGAATCCTTCACCTGAGATATCGTCATTCGGGGAGCCAGTCTTGAACACGCAATAAGGATTCTGTGACTAGTGGATGAGTGGCGCTATCTTCTAACTGAAATTACACTGCTATTTAGTTGCTCGTAGCAGTGTTTGTGTTCAGCCAGTGGCCAGAAGGTCACGGGCTCGAAACTCTCAGAGTTCCGTTAAGTGCACGCTGCTGATGATTCCCAATGGAGATAAAACAGATGTGCAGAGCTTCTGAGCTTCTCAGCGCAAATTGGCTTCACTGACAAGACAAAATATCAACGGAAAATTATTGATAAATCAAACTGCCGGCTGTAGGTCGCGTATGTGGCACTGTGGTTATAATTGCCGTTTTCGTTAGCAATTGGCCTGGCAAAATAAAAGAGAGAAGGAAAGAGTTCAGCTGTAGCACCTTTCTGGTGCCTAGCTGCTATGCCACCCGAAGGAAGCACGAGGGCTGGGATACTGCCAGGTTGCCCAAGCCTAGACAGGGGAAGTCGAGTGGCGGGGGTCGGATTCGAACCACGGACCTTCCGGTCAGTAAATTCGCGCTCTAACCACTTGGGCCATCTCGGCCCATCTCTGGTAAAATAAGGATGGAGCCACTAGGTAAGACCACTGCCGCGCGCGTCAGTGCAGTTTTTCTCGGGAAAACCGACAGGGGATACTATGTGCTGAAAGCAACAACAGCGGAAGCAATTCACGCACGCCATTTGGCGCACGAACGGGCAATATCTGCCAATGTTTCTAGTCATTGGCGTGTCCTATATGGGGGTTTCCTTCAAGTAGACGACTATAACCGCCTCAAATGAGTTTGCTGGTCATGCATTTCACACTTCGCTGTCAAGTATTATTTGACCTCCTCTGGCTCATCCTTACACTTTACATGATTGTGCGAAACAACTCCTAGGGGGGTCGAGTGACGTACGAAGAATGTGATCAAGCAAGCACAACCTATGGGGTGTGACTATTTGAGCCCTCTTGGACCAGTTATTCCCAAGGAAACTGTTCGAATTACCTCAATATCATTAATCTTATGTTCCCACTGGACTCGGGAAATGTCCCGAAGACAGCGACGGTCGAAATTCTTCTAATGTCTTCAGCTCACAGTAGTCAACTTTCTTACCCACACAACAATACGGTGTGCACCGCAGCGCCGTCAATGCGACCAATAACATGCAAGCTGATGTCACGTTCACGCCAGATGATGCGGTTGGGGATCGAGAGTAAACAAGAAAAAAATCGGCTTTGGTTCATTTAATTCGCTAACCCCGAATCCACAACCGTGGCGATATCAGTTGATGTAGAAGACGGGACGACCTGGGAGTAACCAGCTATGTGCTGTGTTGTGAAGGCCAGGAAAATGAACCATGCATGGTGGTCATCTGCCAATCCATGGATGCAGATGTGGAGTAAAATCAATACTTCGTATTAAGGAAGGATAGTATGGGAAATTGCAAGACCTTCAAAGATGTCCACAAGAGGGGTTGTGTTTCGACACAATAAGTACACGGCCTAACCCGTATAGCCTGTCGAGCAGGACCAACTACTCTATCGAAATACACTTCTTTCTAAATCCATTCTGGAGTACTTCCGGCATAACTTATCGGATGACCACACCGGTCTTAAGAAATGCTCCAGAGAACCCAATGGTCAAAAATTGGATGCTTTTACTTATCTGCACAAATATGCCAAGTCTCCTATCCACAAAATAGTATCGAACCGAATGCCACAGACTTGACTCTGACAGTGCGAAGGTGCCACAGGAAAAGCAAGGCGCTGACCCTCCCAAATCAAGTGAATTCTTCGGGTTGAAAGGAGCAAAGAGATGAAAAGAGCGCGATTTTAGCCAACCGCAATCATTCTGAAGCACCTAAACGTCCGAGGCTTTATAGAGGTTAGCGATCACCACTAAAAGAATATGAGTGCTTCAGCTGAAAATTCGCACTGGTTAGGAACAGAGAACGGGCTCAAAGTGATTGAGGTCGCATTTCGTTATCTGTTTGGTGCACATCAATTATGAAACCATCATTGGAATGCGATCCCATCGGGCCTCTTCGACCGGCTATGTCATTAATTCATCATCAAATACCAGAACAACTGACCAAAGTAATTCGGAGATCTCGACGGAAGCAAATTGCTAGGCTTATGAACTGTTACACCTTCAGGGG